CTTAGGTTGTTTTTAATTTGAGAGTTTTCTGATCTGATTTGTTTAAGTCTAGTCCGATCTTATCTAGTTTGATCTATTGGGTCTCTGTTCTGTATTCTACCTTTATCGAAGTCTGATTTGGTCTGATTTGATTTCATCTGATGTAGTTAAGTACTCAAGTGTACTATAATTTAGTGGATGTCTGACATATGTGTATTTTATAATTACCAAAGTCTGGTATGATCTGATCTGATCTAAGATTGAAACAATTAAATTAAAAATATTTTTAGTAAATATAGTGCCCCAATAACTAAGTTTTCTAGATCCGCCCCTGACCAAGACCATACATGTGAAGATGCTGAGCGTGAGCGACGTGAACTCATCATCGAGGCTTTTGCTGCCTAAGGCAAAGATCATGGATAGATATGTGTTTTCTTCTCTGGACGAGGAGAAGGAGAGAGCTTGCCATAGCCAGATGGGGCTTAAAGTGAAGGTGACGGACATGGACAAGAAATATGAGCTGACCCTTTTGCAGTGTATTATAATTTTTGAAGATAATTGAGCAGTAAAACGTACATTTCAAAAAATATTTTGATTGTCTTCTCTGTTGAATTTATATCTGAAATTTGGTATGGGTAAACTAGACTTAATGAAGAAGATGTTCAAAAAAATTCACAAGGAACCGCCACAAATGGCGACTGCCGGACACAGGGACTGAGTCGAACTATAACAAAAGGCCCTGAGAAATTTTTCGGGAGGAAAGTTCATGTTCGGAATTCCTGACAGGAACCGTCGTCCGAACGACGGTGTTTGGACGCCTTTCTGGTGGAATTTTTTGTTAAAATATTTTATGGCATGTTCCTCATCAAGTCTAGTTTATCTACAAAAAAAGTCAGCTAAAAATTCAATCGGGAAGACCGTCAAATGATATTTGGAAGATAACAATTCTAAAAATATACATATAAAACGCAATTAATTTCCAAAAATTATTTGAAGGTCTTTCCGATTGAATTTCAAGCTGAAATATTTTGTGGATAAACTATACTTGATGAGGAACATGCTATAAAAATTTCATCAAAAAATTCCACAGGGAAGGCGGCCAAACACTACCGTCCGAACGACGGTTCCTGTCCGGAATTCCGAACATGAACTTGTTGGAAAAATGTGTTAAAAATTGCATTAAATGGTCATTTTGGGGCAATTATTTGAGTAGGATTCACTTCCGATTTGGGTCAGGTCAAAGTGGTTTCAGATTGTCCTTGTTAAAAGCTACAATTCGATATATGGTACGCTCAAAACGGATAACGGGTGAATGAGAAATTGATTCTCGAAGTTCACTCGTTGAAATGGAAAAACTGGGAAAATGATGGGTTTCTAGTGTGTTTTATACCACACCGGAAAATTCAAGGGATTTTCACCCCCTTATAAAGGGAAGCTTCTTTTAAGGAGTTAAGATTCCTAAAGGTAAAGGCTCTCTCTTACACACAGGGGGTGTTGATCAAATCCTGAAACGGAGAAGAAAAACCGTGATTCGTGTGCGCGGGTGGCTTGGGGACACGAATGCCGTCCGAAAAATCTATCATCCAAAGATGATAGATTTTTGTTTCTTCCCGTAACGTTCCTTAATATTTTCCAGACCAGCAGAACTGCTCCGGACAGCGGACAGAAGGCTTCATACAAGAACACCTCGTGGGGGAGTTCTGTTGGCCTCCGGACAGAAGACCTCAGGGCTCTTCTGTTGGCCTCCGGACAGAAGACCTCTGGGATCTTCTGGTGCCTTCCGAACAGAAGACCTTAGAGGTATTTTGTTGCCTTCCGGAACAGAATACCTAAGCTGTTACGAAAGTTAATGCCCAACGTTCAACATATTAATGTCCAACGTGCTGGACATTTATGTGCAACGTTCAGGTCCATTAAAACTCGATTAACACACCACAAATCCTCCTATAAATGGCTGGAAGGCTTCATACAAGAACACCTCGTGGGGGAGTTCTGTTGGCCTCCGGACAGAAGACCTCAGGGCTCTTCTGTTGGCCTCCGGACAGAAGACCTCTGGGATCTTCTGGTGCCTTCCGAACAGAAGACCTTAGAGGTATTCTGTTGCCTTCCGGAACAGAATACCTAAGCTGTTACGAAAGTTAATGCCCAACGTTCAACATATTAATGTCCAACGTGCTGGACATTTATGTGCAACGTTCAGGTCCATTAAAACTCGATTAACACACCACAAATCCTCCTATAAATGGCTGGAAGGTGGTTTGCAACAACACAACACACAATACATTCCTCATGTATTTTTGAGCTCTAAAATACTTCCAGCTACTCAGAAAATTCCTAAGTGTTCATACTGTGTTCCAGTTCGCCGGAACTCTCGTTTGTGTGCTAAAACGTTAGTTCGTTAGCCACCGTATCCTGGGAAACGGTCGTTGCAACGCTCCTAGCACCGTGGGAGGCGACGAATACATTTTAAGGACATCGTGCGTAGCACGAGCTCTGACTAAACTCTGTTCCATCTATTTTCTGTTTTCTTTTAGCTATTTTATTTATTAATTAATTTTATTTAATTAATATTTCTTCGTTTTTCCGAGACACACCCAACAGAACTTTCCTCTATATAAAGGTAACTAATGAGTAATAAATTTCTGGGCCTTAATTTTTTTCCCAAATTTGTGGGCCTGAGGCAGTTGCCTCTTTGCCTCATCTAGAGGTTCGACCCAGACCGGATAGAGCCTCCTATATAAGGAATGATTTGCACTTTTTAATTTAATTCGAGGGTTTATTTAACCCTTTTCCCACAAGCAAAAGTTATGTGTTGACTAACAACTTATCTGAAAATTTTGTAAGACGGAGGCGTTTTTCGAAGGAGACTCCATTGAGTTGTCCTGGAATGCTCAAAATCTGGAGTTTCTCTTCTGCAAATCCACAAACACAGATAATAATGTTCCTGGATCCACTCGACATAATGACAACTACGAGTATATAATTAGGCTTTGCTTTAACACTTTTTGTTCATCAATTCTTTTATCCGTTAATTCCCTAAATGCAAGTCAAAAGTACTCAATAATCACACACCGAAGGACATTGTATTTTAACTAACTAGTAGAATTAATTATGTGTGTTTAGAAAAATATACTCTTGTAACTATTCAAATGCTATAATTTATATTAAAATCATAATAAAATAATAAAAAATTGTAAAAAAATATAAACAAATAATAAAATATTTATAAAATAAAATTTAAAAAAAAATAAAAATTAAAAAATGTAAAAAAAAAAGAAATCACCGCTGCCTCTGCCATTCCATCACCACCACCTCCGGTCATCGAGGAAAAAAATGTCACGTGCATTAATTAGGAATGTCATATTAATGATAGATACAATGAAAATTTTGGCATTATCAAAGAGTAATATGTCATTTTTTAGCATTTGTTTTTACAAAAAATGGCATTTTTACATCGATCAGAGGTGGTGGTGCAGGGAGGCAGTACAGGCGGTGGGAAAGGCATCCATATTTTTTTATAAAAAATAATTTTATAAATACTTATTAATTTTATATCAATTTCTATGATTTTATTATTTTTTATGATTTTATTATGAATTAAAACATTTAAATATGACGTTTTATACCTTTTACTCCTATTTAAAGGAGGGGTAAGAATGGAATGAAAAAATGTGTACTCCCTTCATCCCAAATTGTTTTGTAAAGTCAACATTGTTTTGTCAATCAATAATAAAAGTCAATCGTCCCTATCGATAATTAATTCAATATTTAATAAATAAAATTTATATATTCAGAAACTACATTAAAATCTTTTCAAAGTCGTAAACAACAAATTAGAATTTAATTAAAAAATTGACATCCTAATTAAGCGAATAAAATGAAATTGTTTGACCAAGAAAAGTCGAATTTGTAAATGAATTTGGGACAGAGGTAGTATGTTTTAAAATAGGAGTAATATGATCCTATTTTGGAATAAAGATATAAAAAGTCCTTTTTCAATTTTTACCCTAGTTTTATTCCTATTTGGGGTAATTTCTATTCTTTTATTTCTTCTTTCATTGGTAAATAATTCAAAACAAATCTCCCACTATTTAATCATATATAAAGCGGTTTCGATGAAAACTATTCTTATCGTGAAAACTAGAAATGGATCACAATTGATTCAATTTGATTCACGTTAGAGCTCTGTCTCTGACACTTTTTGAGATTTGGTCGAGCTAATCATTTCAAATAAAAAATATGTGATGACATGTCAATACATAAGTCAAAGTTTTTTGTCAATGTGAAAAAGTGAAACTTATAAACCTAAATGATATCACATTGTGGAGAAATTGAATAATTTTTCAATTTTCACGAGAAGATTGATTTTTATTTGATGCAAAACACACTATATTTAAAATAGGATTGGCATTGCGAAGTTCCCCATCGTTGGGGATTTGTATCAGCTTTTAAAATTGTTTCTGACTTCTGCTCCTTTATTGAGAAAAAATAATATTGGAGTGATTCTAATTACTCTATAGAAACAGTTTTTGAGAAGTTAGGAAAGTTCAGTCTCTGGAAAACTGATTCCCGTTCTCAATGTTAATTGATATTTATGGAGTAAATGTAAATGTATGTGTAAGTGTAAATGTGAATATAAATGTAAATGTAAATACAAGTTTATGTAAATATAAATGAAAATACAAATGCAAATGTAAATACAAGTTTATGTAAATATAAATGAAAATACAAATGCACATGTAAATGTAAATAGGTATAATTTAAAATCTCCACCCCTATCAATACGTTTTTAATTATGCCACTTAATATGATTACAAATATGAATACAACTATACTATTAAAAATATTAGTATCTATTGTTTTAATAGTAAAACTCAGTTTTAAAGGGCTGGCGTGTCACAATCTTATTCGTTAAAAGAAGTTGGAATAAAACTCCTATATTAAATCATTTAAATCACACATAACGAAAAGTCAATATGATAAACTCTAACTTTTCGGTAATCCTAAAACTAAGGAAAACTGCCAGGTGTATTAATTAAAAATGACATTTGGAATAGGACTCAAATTCGTGAAGATAAATTCCCAGGTCTATTAATTAAAATGACATTTTGAATACGGAAAACTCACATAACGAAAGATAAATTCCATAACGAATTTAATTAAAATCCGTGAAGATAAATTCCCAGGTCTATTAATTCACATAACAAAGAGTAAGTCATTTGGAATAGGACTCAAATTCCATCTCGCTGAAGCTAAACACTCCCAAGGCTATTCGAACTCAACTCTCAAACATCTTGCCGTATCCCTTATGAATCGACCTGTATAAATAATAAAACATTTACGGAAGTGCAAATACCAATTAGCATACAACATCACAAACCAGAGAGTTATTACACTTAAAATAATGGTTATTTCTCACCCATCTTCCATGGTGCAATATGATTGCATCAACGAGGTCTCTAATCGAAAGTAAATCTGGTCTTCACGCGCAAGGCTGGTCACTCATTGGGATAGTTTTCGTTAGTCCAATCCGAATCAATTTATTTCTTACGAACTACTTTTAATTGATGAAAAGGTATGTTTAAATTGCAGCAATTTTATAGATTTATTACTTATGTTTTGCATATGAATATCTTAAATTAATCATGTTAGAGGCATGAAATTTGGTGTCAATAAATATAATTAACACTATAGGTTCAATTACATGACAGTACCGTAATAATTATACTTACTTATATAAATAGTGTTATCTAAATAGTTATTATTTAGATAACACTATAAATAGTGTTAATTATTATAGGTTGAATTAGATAAATAGAGAAAAGCAATCACATTGAATTTCATTGTGCCTGTGACTCGGTTAAAAAAATCAAACTCCAAAGTAATCGGATAACATGACTCCTTTAGAGTTTGCCCTTGGTGTTATTCAGAAGTACTCCATACGTAGAAAATTTATACTAACTCCTTAAGAGTGTTAAATCCATGAAACATGACTCCTTATGAAGACAGAGGTCATAACATAGTAAAAACATTGACTGTGAGAACTACACTAAATCATACTCTGTATCTTTTAACAAGTGTTTAGAAAATTTAAAAACCCCAATAACATAACACTACTTGGTCAATTTTGTGGGGTGGGCTGTGGGGGGCTTTGTACAAGGAACTAGACTTCCTATTTCAATGAGCAAATTGCATTGAGGCTTGATACTATAAACTAAATTTACTATGTCTAAAGCCACCTTATTTCTCCTTTGTTATCTCTAAGGGAGAGGGATGGAGCAGAACATATCAAACAAATTGTTGGCACATGAAATCACCATAACTTATAAGGCTGAAGTTATTTCAACATATGATAATGTGCACATATAGACTTAAATGTGCATGGTGTCGGGCCATATTTGCTAGCTTCTAACAGCCCAACCACCCAATATCGATCTGTTGAATTTAAATCCTATATTGTTAACTTCCACAAGATTATTGTAAGGGTTCTGTTATGGAAACAATATATTTCATGAAGGCTATACTGCTCACAGTGGTGCTAAAGACTGTAACTTTATCTGCAACAATTTTAAGAACATGAGAACTGTTGCAGAGTAAACTTACAACATAAACCAGAACCCGCCAACGAAAGGAATGCCCCCCCAACTCAACCTGCATACAAGAGCCATAGTTTGTCTGGTCCAATGCAATACATCACCCAATTGGTCCTGCAATAAAAAATTATTACAATCAACATTATATGTAAACAACACAGAAAAGCCAGAAGTTAAATGCTCCATAAATTCATTATTACCGGAAATCTGTAACAGGATAATCTATATTGTATTGTTGCGCTTAATTAGCACACATTTTTACAGTGATGCATCTCCTTTAACCAGTCTCACACATTATCTATAATCTATAATATATAATACTACGTACGAAGTACTTCGTAACTTTTATATATTGTTTTATTTACTGCATATTAATCATATTGAAATATTCAGAGGTATATATTAATATACTCAATTTTGTTCATAATACTTTTAATTTATATTTTCAGGGACACTACATACAATGCAGTATACCGCCCAATCTTTTCAATGCCTCATTCCGCAAGACTTTTTACGACAAACGTTGTTATAGCATCAAACAATTGGATGTTAGACGCAATGTGTATGGCTTCCGCTTGTGCAACCATAGTTTCAAACTTCTATTCACTAAGTCAACGATTGTCGAAGAAATAAAGGATTTCGACATATCGCCTTTTAATTTTCAATGCGCTAAATTCGATGACATATTATTTAAAAAATTTGACCCAAATTATTCTGTTAATATAATGGGGGAGGTCACCTACTGGAAGATGAACCCAGTTAATATGAAGGCCGGGGGTACAAAAAATAGATTGCAATTAACCCTTGCGGATGAAGAGTAAGTATCCTTTAAGTATCTTTAATTTCATATATATGTATCCTATTTTTCATCCAATTATGTATACTTTATTCTCTCATTTCTAACGCTCCATTTGACCCTCAAAAGAGGGTCCCAGATTACCTGTTATTTGTGGGACAAATTTGGTGAAGAAGTAGATAGCAGACTCAATAAACATAAAGAATCAAAGAATGAATTTCCTTTTGTGATTCGCTTATGCTTTGGAATAATTAGAGAGTGGAAAGGTATTTAGATTCATGAAATAGAGCACAATTTTTTTTTATCGACGTCACTATGTGCAATAAAATAATCAGAGATTCTGAAATAATTTATTGTAGATGAGATTTCAGTTTCCAATTGGTTTAATGCCTCAAGAATTGAATTCAGAGAGGACAATGAGGTGATTTCACAATTCGGAGACATTTAATAAATTTTTTTCCTACATATTCTTTTTGAAAGGAATTATTTTTCGGTAGGTATGTACTGCATACTAATCATATTTTCATTTATTCGTAAGAATTGAGAAACTATTTCCAAAAGTAACAGAGAGGTTAACACAAAGCAGTGACCCTCCCAAATCTGAAGAGGAAATTTTTCTTCACCAGTATCACAAAATACCAATCAACCAACTGTTTGATATTGAAGAGGTAAATAATTACCATTATAGATTACTAATGTAGCACTATCTATTTCGGTATTTAATTTCAAATATTTTACATCATCGAATCCGAATATTATTTGAAATAGTATAAAATGTGTATTTCTACAGAAAGGAAAGCACCTTGTGGTTGGTACTATATTAGGAGTCTCAACAGAGAAAGGTTGGTTCTTTAATGCATGTCCTAAATGTGTCTCCAATGTACGCATAGTTGATGGCAGGTTTAAATGTGATAAATGCAATGAAGATTGTATCAAAACTTGCAAGAGGTGTAGTGCTAAACACCTATTATTTTATATTTTTCTCTTATTTCCAAGTTAACAATGCTATTACTTATTGTGCTAATAATGCATTTAAATTCAAAATACTTACATTACTCATCAGATATAAGCTCAAGTTGAGGGTTGAAGACTCTTCTGGCATTGCATACTTTATTGTATTCGAAAATGAAGGAACCCAACTCATCGGACTATCTAGCGTAGACCTGCTCAAAAATATGGTAAAAATAAAAATTGAGATATTATTCAGAACATAGTTATGCACAACTCATGTTTTTCAGATCATTCAAATATTAAAAATAAAGTTTGTTGTACATTTTTTAATAGAAGGAAAAAGGAGAAGCATTCCCAGATGAATTTTTATCCTTAGAAAGGAAAGAAGTAGCATTTATTGTGAAGACAGAAGCTCCTAATGGATACACAAGTTGTTGTTTTGCTGTCTCGGCTCTGACTCAAAACTCATCAATCTTAAATACTTTGGCAGAAAACAATGAGGTATACATATAGATGGTTAATGTTTTAATGCAACTTTATACATTTCATACACACACATATGCATATATAGTTACATGTTTTACTCTTTCATGTATGGCAAGAAGGACAGATTCAGGAAGAAGTGAAAGGATATGATGAGGACAATGAGGAAGGACAGGCTCGAAAGAAACTTAAAGCTTCACCATGATAATTCTGTTAATGGATCATACTTTAGCTGAATTACTTTTTATTTCTAAGTTATTTACATCTTAGCATACACATTTATCTTCAGTATTTTTATTATTTTCTGTTAGTTTCTTAGTATTTTTCAATATAATGACTAAGTTGGCCCACATGTATTTAAGTTTTTTGCTGCTTCATTACCTATAAATTAATACAAATGCTGTTGAAAATTTATTAAACTTTTTTTGGTTGGGCTGCGTGGATGAAGTTAAGTATTTACCTGATGGACAGATTTGCTATTTTAGCTGGTATTAAAACGACAGGATCTTGAGTTTGCCAAATAGGATCTTGAGTATGAAAAAGATACAGCGGAGAACAACAATGCCGTACATGATGAGATTAAAGCTTACTGCAATTGCAGGTATATTAGCGCCGCAGAAGGTATGTGGAGGATATTGAGCTTTGATATACATTACAGAATCTCGGCTGTTGAAAGACTGAGTTGTCATCTCCCCAATCAGCAATATGTGGTATACAATGAAGATCAAGAAATTGAGCAGGTAAGTTTTGTAAACTGACTTTCAATTAAAATAGTTGAATATAATAATAGTTACTAACAATTTCATTTTAATATTTTCAAAAATAATAGGTGGTGCAGCAGTCCAAAGTACAAAAAACCACGCTCACTGCGTGGTTTGAAACTAATAGAGTTGATCCAGATGGTAGAACACTTTCTTACGCAGAATTTCCCATGAAGTATACATGGAAAGAGAGTGCAAAAGTTTGGGTGAAAAGACAACAACGCTCATGCATTGGGAGAATACATAACATACCTCCGGGATCGGGCGAGTGTTGGTACTTAAGGATACTACTCAATAAAGCTAAAGGATGTCAGTCTTTTGAAGATGTTCGCACCGTGGATGGTGTCGTATACCCGACATACAAAGATGCCTGCCACGCACTAGGTATTATAGATGACGATCAAGAATTTGTTGAAGCACTCGAAGAAGTGAACAAATGGGGAACTGCATCATACTTAAGAACATTATTTGCTACTTTTCTGCTTATAAAGAATCTGCATTCTCCATTGCACGTGTGGACCAATTGTTGGAAGCTTCTTGCAGATGATTTCTTGCATGGTCCAGGAAATCCAAATATAACGTACATTGTCTCAGGTACGCTTCCACATCATTAACAATTATATTGCATTTTATAGAATAAATAGGATTACTATTATTTTTCAATTTAAAGAGTGACATTAGTTTTACATATCATTGTACATGTTAAATTATTTAATTAAATGTATACAATTAATGTTCTTAAATTATTTAAGAGAGCGAGGCTCAAGACAAGGCACTTCAAAGGATCGAAGAGATTCTAAAGCGTAATGGAAGAACATTGGCTGACTTTGAAGGGATGCCTGTCGTAGAACATATAGATGATGGACGAGTAGTTGACGCATTGGTACGGGAAGAAATGCAGTATGATAAGGAAGAATTGTCTAGCCAGCTGATGCAGTTACTTCCATCATTAACGACTGAACAAAAAGAAATTTATGATTGTGTTATTAATGCAATATTTACAGATCAAGGAGGTAGGAAAACTACATAAAATTAATGAATACTTATTATATCTCAATTAATATCTTAAGTCATGCTAAACACGTCACCCGTTATCTTCACAAACCAGGTGTGTATTTTGTTCATGGATTTGGTGGGTCTGGAAAAACATTCTTATGGAATACATTGGCAGCATCTGTGAGGAGCAGAGGACAAGTGTTGATTAATGTTGCTTCAAGCGGCATTGCGTCATTATTGCTTCCCGGTGGTAGAACCTCTCATTACAAGTTCCAATTTACTCTTCACAACTTCCAATTCAATTATTAATAAAACTACATTATTAAAAAATAATTTAATCGTTAATACGAATGCAATCAAATATCATCATAAATTTAAAATGATTCTGCGTACTTCATTTATAATAACTACGTTTTATATTAATATTAATAATTTAAGTCTCCAATTATATAATACATAGTATATATTAGCATTAATATATATTATTCTGCAATTCATTCGAGGTTTTCGATCCCATTGAGTATTGCTGAAAATTCAACATGTAATATCAAGCGCGGGAGTCCAAAATCAAGATTATTAATAGCCACAAAATTAATCATTTGGGATGAAGCGCCAATGACTCACAAATATTGCTTTGAGGCTCTTGACAAGACACTCAGAGATATTTGCTCATCTGTAAATCCAAAGAATGAAGAGTTGCCCTTTGGTGGAAAAATTGTTGTTCTAGGAGGGGATTTTCGACAGACGCTACCGGTAATCCCTAAAGGCACGCGTGAAGAAATTGTCACGTCGGCAATAAACTCATCATACTTATGGAATTATGTTCAAGTCAAGCATCTCACAATAAACATGAGGTTGATGCATCAAAGCAACATGCTGGATAGGGAAGAAGTTGAACGATTTGCTAGGTGGATATTAAAGATTGGCGAGGGCACTATCGGTAAGGAGTCTGACAGAGGCATTGAAGTTGAAATACCGCCTGATTTGTTGATCCACTCGAATGGGGATAACTACAAAGCCATTGTTGACAGTACTTATCCAGACTTGCACAACAATTTGTCAAATTTTGACTACTTGGAAGAGAGGGCAATCCTGGCACCAACTTTGGAAATAGTAGAGGGCATAAACAACTACATCCTCTCAACGTTACCAGGAGAAGAGGTAAAATATTTCAGCTACGACAGCATATGTCCCACTGCGGCAAGTAGTTCTGGTGATGATGACATTTATCCACAAGAATATTTAAACAGCATTTCAATATCTGGATTGCCAAATCATGTGCTTAGCCTCAAAATCGGTGTCCCTATAATGTTATTGCGCAATATTGATCAATCTGCAGGTCTATGCAATGGAACACGAGGGGTGATAACAAAATTGGGGAAACGCATCTTGGAAGCCAAAGTCCTCACCGGACCGAGCAGAGGGAATAAAATATTGATTCCAAGGATGAATCTATGCCCAACAGATACAACATTGCACATAAAACTTCAGAGGAAACAATTCCCAATTTTAGTATGCTTTGCAATGACCATCAACAAAAGTTAGGGGCAAACACTAGCACATGTTGGACTTTATTTGGAAAAAAGTGTATTCACACATGGGCAGCTATATGTGGCTGTTTCAAGAGTCAAGAGCAGAAATGGGTTGAAAATTTTGTTGGGTGGAGGAGAAGTGTAACACCGCCCTCGAGTATTTGTACTGTACCAAATTATGTATTGCACCTTGAGAAATGTATAAAAGCATTTTTACGTGATTGTAAATTTTTATCATTTCTATTACGTGAATAGTAAAATTCACGTGGGGCCCACACCGGATGTGGGGCCGCCCGATATTATCGGGACCACATATTATATTAATCTTGGACTAGATAATATGTATATGGTGGTGGATATCCTAATTGGGCCATGACAATGGCACAAGGTTGACCGGTTGGTCAAACGGGCCAAATTATCGGTATCGGCAATTTATCAGATAACAGTCCAAAAAGGGATTCCGAGAACCTATAAATTAAAGTTGGGGATTTCATAATGATTCTAAGGCCCAATAAGGATTGGGAACGAGTGTTATATTTTATTTGACCCGATAAAATAAAATATACTTAAAACAGTCCGGAAAATACAACTTTCGGGACCGGTTGTACACTCGGGTACACAAAGGGTTGACCTCCCACATGAGTGGGGGCCAACCCACGTCCTTGGTCTGGAAAACATCAAGGGGAGCCGCATGAAAGGCATGGAAATGAGAGGCTGATTGGTAAGGAGATCAATCAAACCAACCAAGGGCCCCTCCTCACATTATTTTGGGCTATTGAGACAACAGTGAGGGGTTCCCTCCACCCACCTCCAATCAGTTCGTCCATCCCACAAGAGAGGTGAGAGAAGCTCTGCAATACTCCATTCTTTGCAGCCATTTACGAACTTGAGCTAAGGGGGAAGAAGGAGGGGAAAAGAGAAGAGGAAAAGTTGGTTTTGGAGAGGAAAACTGGTGTTTAGCAAGGTAAGGACTCCATTAATCCCATTTCTTGTTCTTCAATACTCTTTTATGGTTATTCAATCATATTTCACACCCTAGTAATGTTCTACACGTTGGGATGTGTAGAGAGAGGGGTTGGAAGGTAGTTCTAAGTCCAAGAACGGACTTAGAAGCCAAAGTGACCGGTTCGCCGGAAAATAACCTTTTTGAGGTTATTTGTATTACTATGGGTTTTATGATGATAAAACCTTGTTAGTAACTTGTCTAAGGTATTCAAGGAACTTTCACGGAGTTGAAAAGGTCGCCGGAGTTGTCGCCGGAGTTCGTTGAAGTTCGCCGGAGTTTCGTCGGAGCTAAATCGGGGAGGCTAGAACTTCATAAGCTTCATTAAGGTGAGAAGACGGCTTTATGCTTTATAACTTTTGCGTGAGGCATGAGATTACCTAAAGTAATCAGGAATATGTTTTGTGGGATGATTAAAGATAACCAAGTGTGTGTTTATGCCATGATTATACATAAAACATAATTGAAAAGCATGTTATGTAGGTTTGGTGATCAAAAATGTGATAACTTCTTATGTGTGATGTTCCAGGGATCCAAAATGGTATTTTTGGATCAAGGACGTCAAGAAGTATAAGTGTATAAAATTTCACGTTAATCGGACTTCGTTTGGGCGGTCAAACGAGCGTTGACCGCCAAGACAAAGGTGATACCCGACCGGGTATGGGTGAATACCCGACCGGGTTTTGATTAAAAATGGCTCCAGAAGCCACTGCCACACTAGACCCGACCGGGTATGGGTGTAGACCCGACCGGGTCTCAAGTAAAGTTGGCTCCAGGGGCTACTGCCTCACCCCACCCGACCGGGTAAGGTGGGATACCCGACCGGGTCTTGGGTTAAGCTCAGAATGGGCAGTTTTGAGTAGGTTAACATGGGCCGTTCGGGTGGGACCCGCCCACGTTGGATCCTAAGGATTGTTATATGACTATAGGGCTAGGCATTGTCCATAGTTAAAGGAATGAAAGGTTAGCCATATCCAGATTAGGATTTGGTAGAGAATAGACTGGGGATTGAGTACCCTTGGACGGTAAATGATCCAGAATACTCCAGGTGGGGTCGAGTACCCTTGGACGGTAAATGATCCAGAATACTCCAGGTGGGGTCGAGTACCCTTGGATGGTAAATGATCCAGAATACTCCAGGTGGGGTCGAGTACCCTTGGACGGAAAATGATCCAGAATACTCCAGGTGGGGCCGAGTACCCTTGGACGGTAAATGATCTTAAATACTCCAGGATGGGTTGAGTGCCTTGGACGGTAAATGATCATAAAACACTCGGTAGTATGAATCGAAGGTAGACTATAGCTTGTGAGCTAGGTAACCGGGAAAGGAGTGAGAAAAGTCAGGTAAGAACTTTATCTCTAAAAGACTCTTTAAGGTAAATGACCTACGGGTTGAGTATTTTACGAGTATATATACAGTATGTATCATCGGGTGGATGAGGGACATCTATATGTATATATCACCCTATTTTTGGGTCTCGTGTCTGAAACATTAGTTATTCTTCATATAGCCTGCTTGTCACTAGTACTTCTATGGAGTACTGACCCCTCCGGGGGCCCTCACATTTTTCAGGTTGAGGCTAGAGTCCTACTACCTGCACCTTTGCCTAGGGTGACTGATCGAGAAGGAAGACGTGGTTCGTGCTTCCATTCTTATTTCAAATGTATAAACCGCTCATGGATTTTTGAACAATATTTTCATTAAAACAGTTGGGGGTCTGCGTGCCCGTGTTTGCCACGTGTGGCTAAGTATCAAACATTTTATTACTTCCGCATTTGTTTCATTATGATATTGATGTTGATTGTATGTGTTTACTAATCGGTTTGGCAATAGAATCAATCAGACGCCTTGTACAACTCAATAGGGATGAACTGTTGTTGTTCTTATCGGGTTGTACGGCGGTTGTCTACGTGGCTCGGATGCGGTCCGGGGCGTGACAATTAAGTGGTATCAGAGCCAGGTTTTCTAAACTATATAATTAACCTCTCAATATGGTTATCTTCAAAAAGTTTTGAACAAAACCATGAGCAGAAGTTTTGTACTTAAGGAACCGTTGGAAACCAAGTTATTGACCTCTTATTGTTAAGACGGTACCCTTAACAGTTTGTTGGCCATAATGTTGGACCAAGGGGTGTCTTTTGTACTAATCCGTCAATTGACATTGAAACGAGTCTAATGACTCATTCCTTATTTCTTTCAGAAATGGAGGGTGGACGCAGGATAACTAGAAGGAACCCGACAGGGCATGTGCCGGGAGCCACCGGGCATGCCACTCGGGCGGAATCACGGACCTCTAGGGGTAGAGGCCGGGGCCAAAGCCGAGGAGGAGGCTGAGGCAGGGGTCGTGGGCGTTCTACCACGCCGACGACAAG